TTCCTGCTTTCTTCCCACTCCCAGGAGTTCTGGGGCTGTGGACTGAAATTGTCTGGAGCAGCGATCGCCAACCGATAGTCTGCGGACCACGAGTGGTGCGTGAGGTCCAAAAGGTTGGTGACCGCTGGTCTGGAGGGTCAATTGAGGCCTCTCTCTAGCAGTGGGGGACGATGAAAGGAACTTGGGAGTCCTGATAGGGCAAGAGGAGGCAGGCACTGCACTCTCTGGCCCTTTCCCTGCCTCATTCTCACAGGGCTCACCCTTCCGTGCCCAGCTTCCCTGCACCCCCTCCCAGAGCCCAGGCCTTGACAGCTCCACAAAGCAGTTATGAATGAGCTGGCTGTCCCTACTCCCATCTTTGTTCCTGTAATACCCTGTTTCCCTGGCCACCCCTCACCTCACTCTCACACTGGAGATTTATCTCCTTCGAGTTCCCACACATCAGGTTGAGAAGTTGGGGAAAGGCCTCTAGGGGTAGGTGAGTTTGGGAACCCATGAGCCACTGCTTCCAAACTGGGAACCTGGGACTGGGCCTGGGCCCTGTTGCCCCTTGAGACTTCAAATCCATCTACCCTTTTTACTCTGGCCCTGCAGGGTCAGCACCCCACCCAGGACCCCCACCCATCCGTGTCCTTGGACTTCTGGGAAGTGGGCAGCCTTCTTCCCACCCCCACTCTGCCTGCTGCCCATGCCTGGGCCTCTGATCCCTTTTGCTGGGCACTTGCTGAATGGAGCCTTGTTCTCCGCCGCCGGTGAGGGCGCCGAGCAGCGAGGGCAGCCCGCAGGGGGCTGTGCTGCTTCTATCCCAGGATGCCAGGCTGTTAGGCAGGGTGCAGCCCAAGCCCCCGCTCAAAGAGCTTCTCGGAAAGCATCTGACGGGTCTGGAGTGGAGCGGGAAGCAGGCTCTGTGCCCACCCCTGACCATTGTGTCTGTGCCAAGGTGAGTCATTCAGTGGGCATGAGGGGAAGGCCCTGGGGTGGCCAACCCAGCACGGCCAGGTCTCCAGCTCTGCAGACAAGGCCTGGGTGCTCGCCCCCTCCCCAGCTCTTAGAGGCCCCGAAGCTGGGACTCACGGGGGGAAACCCGGCATGCAGCCTATAACATGCCCCCGTGAAAAGCATCTTCCCCAGCATCCTCTGTGTGAGTCTCCGCACAGAGAGACCCCAGGGCTTAAGCAGTTTCATGGCGAGGGAATCCCGAAGGGGGTGCTAGTGACTTTTGACCTTGTCGTGGATGGAGGAGCTGGGGAAGATGAGGGTTTCTTAAAGGAAGAGCAAGACTGGGGACAAAACCTTGTATCCACTCTCCTCTCTGTAGCTAGGAGCAGCTGCGTTTCCAGCTTGCTGGGCCAGGCACAGCATGTAGCCTCCTCTTCTTGTGCAAGTGAAATCTAGTTGAAATGAGCACGGAGCAGTCCTAAAGGGAGAAGGCCTAACAAGAGCAGGAAGTGCTCGTCAGTGTCGCCCAGTGAATCCTACCTGTGTGTGGAGAGCAGCTACAGTGTTGGGACAGGTTCAAGCCTTGGACTAGTGGTTCTCAACCTTCTGGCCCTTTAAATACAGTTCCTCATGTTGTGCCCCAGCCATAAAATTATTTTCATTGCTACTTCATAACTGTAATGTTGCTACTGTTATGAATCGTCATGTAAATATCTGATATGCAGGATGGTCTTAGGCGACGCCTGTGAAAGGATCATTCGACCGCCAAAGGGGTCGCGACCCACAGGTTGAGAACCGCTGGAAGGCATGGTCCTCTCATGGCCATGTGCAAGTCCCTGCTTGGAGGGACCTATGGTTCGAACCTGTGGTCCCACGTGGCTGAGTGATATGGGCTGCAGGAGGTGCAGCAAGTAAACAAAGCTTGATCAGGTGCGTGTAATTGAGTAGATTCGATACCCGCGAGAACATTGTAAACATCTCAACCATGCCGTTACTTTGCCTCGTGGAATCTGACTATAAAATAAAGACTCTGCTTGCAGGCTGTGGTGCTGTCTCTTCATTAGAGAGGGCAGCGTCCCCCTAGCCCAGCCGTGGGCAAACTACGGCCCGCGGGCCGAATCCGGCCCATTTGAAATGAATAAAACTAAAAAAAAAAAAAAAAGACTGTACCCTTTTATGTAATGATGTTTACTTTGAATTTATATTAGTTCACACAAACACTCCATCCATGCTTTTGTTCTGGCCCTCCGGTCCAGTTTAAGAACCCATTGTGGCCCTCGAGTCAAAAAGTTTGCCCACCCCTGCCCTAGCCCCAGCTTTATTCTCTTGTCTGTCTTCTCCATCCTTCACCACCCCCTCTCAGGTTCACCCATGGCTGTGCTGGGTTGGCACATACATCATCATTTTAAGAGCTGTATGGTTTTCCTCTATATGCATTAATTTAACCAAGTCCTATTGTTAGACAGTTGTGTTGTCTCTCTCTCCCCCCGCCCCCTCTCTCTCTACGCTATGATGCACATCTGCCCCAGGCAGAAACAGCTCCCAGCCTCCACTGCTATTTGCATCCTCCTGGACTGGCTCAGGTCCCATCTGCATGGTGTTTCCTCTCCTGCTTCACCAACCTGAGGGCCTCAACATCTAAAGCCTCAGGCCAATCGCTAGACCAACTTCTTCACTAGGCAGCAGAAAGCTGTGGGCCATGGGGAGAGGATGCCCGAGTGAGTACCCCTCCACAGGGCCTTCAGCCAAGCCATGCCCCACTTCAGGTTGAAGTAGATATAAGATGACCTTCTATCCCTGCACCCCCACCCGTGTCATAAATCTGTCAAGACGCCCACCTGCCTACAGGGCCCACATGTCTCGCAGGACAGGCCAACACTACACCTGGCCTCAACCCACACACGAGGCACCCAGTATTTTCCAGATTTGCCAACCTCTAATTCAAGTGGCTGCTTTGCCACTAGACTGCGCCCACCGGCTCCGCTGGAGCCCCTGCCGCTCTCCCAGTACCCACACAGAATGGTGGGCAGCAAGTGTAGGTGGGATGAAGAGAGTGTGGGTCTCTCTGGCTGACTCCTTGCGCACCACTCAGTGTGTCCGTTCCCTGACCCATCTCTGAGGAAGGGAACCGGCCCTGGTGGCCACTAGATGGCAGTGCTCAGCTTACCAGGTCTGGAGGCCGAGAAAGCTGGGCTCACCCAGCGGTATCACCCCTTTTTCCCCCCCAAGTTGCCTCTGATGCCCTCTAAGAGAGTGTGGGTCTCTCTGGCTGACTCCTTGCGCACCACTCAGTGTGTCCGTTCCCTGACCCATCTCTGAGGAAGGGAACCGGCCCTGGTGGCCACTAGATGGCAGTGCTCAGCTTACCAGGTCTGGAGGCCGAGAAAGCTGGGCTCACCCAGCGGTATCACCCCTTTTTCCCCCCCAAGTTGCCTCTGATGCCCTCTATAGAGACTTAAGGTCCCGTCTCTGAGTCTCCACTTCCACAACTAACATGGGACTAGCCATACTCACTGCTAAGGTAGTTGTGAGGATAAAATCGGTGAAAGCCGGAGGATGCAGCAGGTGCTTGATAAATCACAGCTCCCAGCTGAAACTGGTTTGGCTTAGTGGATAGAGCGTTGGCCTGAGGACTGAAAGGTCCCGGGTTCGATTCCGGTCAAGGGCATGTACCTGGGTTGCGGGCACATCCCCAGTAGGAGATGTGCAGGAGGCAGCTGATCGATGTTTCTAACTCTCTATCTCTCTCCCTTCCTCTCTGTAAAAAAATCAATAAAAAATATTTTTAAAAAACCACAGCTCCCATTTAATAACACCTGCTAGGTCAGTGGTTGGCAAACTGCGGCTCGCGAGCCACATGTGGCTCGCGAGCCGCAGTTTGCTGACCACTGTGGTGATTTATATATCTACATGTTAGCACATGTGTGATGGGGTGGGCCCAGATTGGAAGCTGAGTCCACCGCGGGGAGGGGCTGCCATGTCCTGTTCACCTCATGTTGGTGGAGCAGGGACAGTGTGTCCCCACCCCCAACACAGGCAGTTAGTTGGCGGTGTGGACAGGACGCAGGTGGCAGCAGCCAGTGAGGACAGGGTGGGAGTCAGCACCATTTGCCCTGGCTTTGGGTTTGCCAGGGGACACGTGTCAGCTATCTCCAACCGCCCAGGAGGAACTCAGAGTAGAGGCTGTCTCCCAGTCTTTCTGGCCTCCCTGACTCCTCCATCCTTGCCCTTCCCCAGCCCAACTGTGTCCTGGGGTGGGGCTCTTCTGTACCTCAGCCTGCT